GTTGAAAACCGAGTTGGTGTGTTTTCAGATATGACGCCTATAGTGCTCTAGGAGATGCTGGGTGGATGGATTTTTACACGGGGGAGGCTTGGAATAAGATGTCACATGTCACACGAGAAATTTAAAACCTATCGTTGCACTCGATGTGCTAATGTTGCATTATCAGTAGAAATGACCGTGTTCTGGATTGTGTCCATTGGAAGACAAATTCGCGGGCGATGAAGCGCGGGATAACGTTTAATCGCTTCGAACATTATTTCCCACGCATCTCCCCACCTGATCGCGCCGGTATTTGGGGACAAAACGCAGACCTGCCTTATCGGTAGTAGCCGTCAGCTGAATCAGCGACGCGTTGGGACGCGCAAAAAGAGTATGCAAGAGAAAAGAGAGCAGAAATCAGGGGAGGGGATTTGACCATAGATGAGTGGTTGCAGGGCTTTTGGCAGCAAAAACGACAAGTACCATAAGTTGCAAAAACTAGTCGAACGGCCAAAATGGCAAACAGGCAATAGGCTGACCAACCTGAGCTAAGAAACATTTAGAAGGCTGGCCAGGCAGGCTCAGACGAGCTCCCTGCCCCGCCTGGACCCTGAGCGGCCATCAGCACATAACGTTTCCAGGGCTTCCTCGCTTCTCCGCGTATACAATTCTCCATTCTCCGCCCGTCCACCGCTCGCCTATGCCTCCGCCGACGCTGAATCAATGAATTACTGCTGTCATCAGGTCGGCGAGTGACCGCCGGCGTCACCCTCCGTCGATATCACATCACGGCCGATGGCGTCGGGTTCTGCCAAGGTTCTGCTGTAATTTCTCCACCGAAATCACAACGGCACGGCAATGTCACGGTCAGTGACTCTTCTTCCTCTGTACCGTCAACAACCCTTTTCCTCGACGCGTTGCAAGTTGCGAATCCCACCAGTATGCTGCTCTTCTCCTTCCTGCGCGTTGCTGACTGGCTCTAGTTCTCTTCCCGACTGCCTCAGCCATGCAGGGGGCGCCTTTCGGTGAGTTTGGCATTGCTTTTATACACTTCCCGCTCACTTTCACACAGAATTGGAGCCGCAGCTGCGCTCACACCAACCTGCTTCAATCTTGCTGGTATGTTGCTCTCATGTTTTTCCCAAGTTTACGCGTTGCTAACTGGCTTCAAGACTCACCGCGCGACTGCCTCAACCACGTCAGCCCTCTTTCACCTTGCGTCAACTTCTCAGTGAGTCTAGTTTTGTTTTCACTCATTTGTTACTTACAAAATGTCGCCAGGCATGATTGGGGCCTTGGCGTTTGTCGCGCGCCCATGGGTATGTTGATTCTATTCTTTCTATTGACTGACTTGGCTGATGTTTTTGCAGGGAGTCGGCACCACCCTCCGTCCCCGCAACCTCAAGTTGCAGCAGCGCAATGTATGGCCATGCGTCGCCAAGGCCTGCTGCCGTCCTCATGCGGCGCCAGCTCTTTTGGTGAGTTGTCCGCTGTTTTCCATCCACATATTGCTCAATGTCGCCCAGAGTATCAGTACAGTTGACATGCCGTGGTCTGCTCCCAGCGCCATTCGACGGAGTTTTCATGGCAGCGCGCTCTACTGGCCTTGCTGTTTGGTAAGCTATGTGCCGTTTTGCCTTATAATTGTTGCTTATTCCTGCCTAGCGCCTCAAAACCAAGACGGGTCTGCTCCTGCTGCTCGGTGTCAAAGACCTTCCTGTCGTTCACCTCGAGTCCTCGACCCCGTTCCGACACCTTTTCAGTGAGTTTCATGTTATTTCCCTCTCTGCCTAAAATCTCAACCTAATGCAGCGTGTTACTGCCGAAGTACTGCCCGCTGGCCCATCCTTTCGGTTTCCGAATGCGCCACCATTGGCGCCGCTCTCGACACAGTCGCTGGCATAATTTCTGCAGCGCATGGACGTGATATCACTGTGTGCGTAACATCCTCCCGTTGCATGGACCGTTGTTAAATGTAATTATCAGTGCCCTACAAGGCATATCTGCGAATTCCAAGGCTGAATTTGGCGACAAATTTGATATTACGTAAGCACATTTTGTGTGTTTCTGTGCGCAAATAACTCACTTTTTTTCCAGACTTTTTGCCGCCGGAGGCGATAAATAGCCGCCTGGGCTCAAAGTTTCAGCTGCTGCTGTGTGCAGCAAGGCACCGCGTATGTCCTCTTCTGCTGGCCATAGCAAGCTAACCTGCCTTTTGTAGATGCCATGCCGTGGCTGGTCCGTCACTCGGGCCCCGATGCCGGGCTGCCGGCCGTGATCCGATCACTGATAGCCATCATCCGATCCTTTCCGGACGCTCTTTTGGCGTCAAAATTCGCGTTAAATCGGCTTATTTTTCGCGGGGTTTTGCCGCCGGAGGCCTGTGTAACGGCTGGGCTTCAAAGTTGGTGTTGGCAGCTATTTGCTGCCGGTCCAGGTGTGTGTCTGCCTTCATTAATGATCTATTATCTGACCTCATGAGCGAAGCTCAGACTCGGAGTCAACTGGGCCAGCGTGATCATGTCAGCAACTTTCCTGCCACTATGCTCCGCTGGAATCTACGTGCGCGCGTGCTGTCGCCGTCTTGTCCTCGCTGCTAAACTATTGCCTGCGTTGACAATGATCGTCATCGACCTTCCCGCGGTTGACTCGCGTCCCGTTTGGGTACGGGAGGAGGAGGGAGATGGCTGCCGACAAGTGTTGCTCGCTACCATTTGACAACGGCCGCCGGGCCCCGACCGACCCTTGCCGTCTCCCAAATCGTAGGGGCAACCAACAGGGCTCTTTGCTTGTTATTCCATTTCACAACATGTTAACTTGAAGCCTGGTGCAAGCAGGTGAGCTGGAATGTCCTGATTTTAATTCTTGTACTGATTATCCTCTTCAGACCCTGTTTGCGAGCAGCATTGCTTGATGCTCAGCACGGCTCTCTTCCCGCCGTAATTGTTCCCTCGCCGCTGCCCGCCCAACCATGCCCACCACTCTACATCCCCATTTCCGTTGCCCCAAGAACACCGTGTCGTTCTTTTTCTCAGTTTTGTGCTGTCGCGAACCAAGACGGCGCCTGCACCAACTGTCTCCTCGTGACACGCTCGCTGGCTCAACGATACATGTCGCGTGGCCCATCGACCTTTCGGCAATGCTCTGTCGTCGTTGCCAATCTCTGTCCAGTTGAACACTAGCTCTACTCAAACATGACACCCGCGTCGTTACCTTCCTGTCCCGGGTTGCGCTGCCTTTTTTTCTCAGTCTCGTGCTATGGCAATCCGAGACGGCGCTATGGCTTATTCTGGTGCGTCCTTTAAGTACCATTGATTCATTTACTTATCCTTGACAGATTTGTTGCCTCTCTCCCGCCACGCTGCTCCTCCCAATGGCGTTCTCAGCCAATTCTGGATGGATTTTGGCCATTTTTGTTGGAGGAGGGAGTGGGAGTGGGGGGACATACGGGGATGGTCAGCCGATGGTCAGCCGGTGCAAGCGGGAGGGGGACGCGCGGTGATCGGGGAGGTGGACGCGACGGGTACTAGAATCTTGTATGTAAATAGCGTAACCCTGCAAAAAAAGTATATAACTAGACCCCCCGAGCCTTAGCGAGCTGCGAGCCTTTGATGGGTGAGATGCAGCGTTGAGGTGGACAGCAGTAGACAGCGGAGGCGGCAACCTCTCCGTTGGTCAACGCCAAATCTTGGCGTTAGGTAAGATTTTCTTTTTTTGCACGGGTTTCAAGCTTACACACTACAGCTCGCGCGATGGTCCGCGAAAGCAAGATTCTCATTCTTGACGAGGCGACTTCCGCAATCGACTACCAGACCGACACCATCATCCAGGCGTCGCTGCGGAACGAACTCAAGCCCGGAGTTACGTGCATCACGGTCGCGCACCGACTGCAGACCATCCTGGATTCAGATAAAATCGTAAGATGCCTTATTATTGTGAAATCGCGATGCTAACTATTTTCAGATGGTTCTTGATGAGGGCCGAATTGTTAGTCCTTCTAAAAGTCGTGAATCTTTTCGCTGATTTGTGTGGCAGGTCGAATTCGACGCTCCAAGAGAACTGTTGAAGAACCCGAGGGGCAAGTTAAGAGCGTTGGTGGACGAGTCAGGTGACAAGGAGGCTTTGTATGCAATATCGTTCTTCGTCATAGATTAGTGGATAAGTAAGTTGTGTTTGAGTGCTTCAGCTGTTAATGTTGTGAGTCGGTGGTGCCATTAGTCAGTTGGCTTGAACCGGAAATGACTGGTGAATGGTCGTAGCAACAAAAAAAGAGTTGCGAGAAACGAAAATTGAAGGGGGTCTTTTGCTATACACCTTTCGGACTAACGGTACACCATAAGTAGCTTGAATCTGTTCTATGGCACCTTCTTTCAGACCAAGGCGTATAGAATGCGACACAAGAAGGCCCGAATGAGGTCCACGGCGAGGAGTACCAGAATGGATGCGTTGCCGGGCGCCGAGATGGCCCGCCACATCCCCTGAACCTCGCGCTTCACCTCCCCAAGCTCGCCTGACTGCTGGGCGAGCGACTCCTGGATTGCGGTTATTTCGGCCGTCATCGAGTGCAATAAGGCTGTCAAGGCAGCGTGGCTGCCAGAAATTCATGAGCATCATATCATATGCACTGAGGGAAAAGCCATTGACACACATATTTTCGAGATCGGCGTCGTCGTTGAACGTTGGCTGCGGGACGCCCATTGTGGAAGAGGGCGGAAGAAAGCGGTTGCCCCTATACTCCTGATGACGGTATGATGAGGTGACTGATAAGATAAGCTGGCGTCGGTGTCGGCCGAAGTACTATTGAGTCACGGTCACGCAATCAACCTGCTTTTTTCTCAACGTTCATCTACAATTCAAACAACACAGAGTTGGCCTGTCTTCGCTTCTACACCGCCGCAGCTATGCACACGGTCATGCGGATGACAAGACTCGGAAGCCCTACCGATTGGGCGGCCCATTCCCAGTGAACCGCAGCAGCAGTTTCGAAAATAAAAGGCGCGCAATAGGACAGCGGTTCCTCAATGTCCCAAGTAGCACTCGTCCTTGAAGGTATTCAGTCTGCCAATCGATGGCAGCACGACTCTGACCTTTACTCGAGCGCGCGGTCAACATGTGCTCAAGGAGGTCCCCATCCACGAGCCGTCCGCGGGGTTGATGCAAGTGCGGGTGGAGGCCGCCGCTGTGAACCCCGCTGACGTGATGATGTTCGACGACGACCGGGGTGGATTCGTGCAGGGCTATCCGGCGGTGCTCGGCTGGGACGCGGCGGGCGAGGTGACCAAGATCGGCGAGAACGTGACCCGGTTCAAGGTCGGCGACCGCATCGCGTTTATGTGCTTCCCCAGCTCCACCCACGATGGCGGCAAAAGTCACACTGCGCGCGGGGCGTTTCAGCAGTACGTGTTGGCCGACCAGCGGTATGCAGTCAAGGTGAGCGGCAGTAGTAATTCTATCTAACATTGAGCTCAGTCTATTCGGAGATACCGGCGGGGGCTGATTATGCCTCTGCGGCGTCTTGGTCTGCGGCGAGCACTACTGCCGCTGGCTCACTCTACAAGCACTTTGCGCTGAAAGAGCCCTGGCTTCCCGGAGGTGAAGGCGCTTACAAAGGCGAAAAGCTCCTCGTTTTGGGCGGCAGCTCGTCCGTTGGCGCATACGGTGAGTCAACTTAACATACAATTATCATGATAATCACCCCTTCAACAGCTATCCAGTACGCCGTGCTCTCGGGCTTCACCGTCCTCACGACCTGCTCGCCGGCCCATTTCGACTACGTCACGTCCCTCGGCGCCGCTTCTGCGATCGACCGCTCCGCGCCGGACGCGGCCGCGCAGATCCTCGCCGGCGCGGGCGGGCCGCTCGGACTTGTCATCGACGCGATCAGCGTGCCGGCGACGCAGCTCCTCGCGACGCAGGTGCTCGCGGAGGCCGGCAGGCTGAACCTGATGCTCGCGCCCGATCCCGCGCTCCGGCCGGCGATTGATGCCAAGAAGATCGAGCTTCTGTGGGGGATGGGCCTGGAGGGCTGGTACGCGAACGAGCCGCTGTGGGCCGCCGCGGAGGGACACCTTGCGAGCGGGGCCATTAGGTTCAACCGCGTGACGCTGTTGGGGGGCGGGCTGGGTGCGTGGGAGAAGGCGTTCGAGATGCATCGCAGGGGCGAGGTCAGCGGAACAAAATTGGTCATGACACCTCAGCAACACACGCTATAGTTCATTGCAGTCCGCGAAAGGGCGGCATAGGAAGCTTTGTATGACATTGTTCTTCGCCATAGATTAGTGGATAAGTGATTATACAATTTGCTCAACTACGCAATGCCTTAGCAACATCCTTTCGCCAAGCACGCAGGCGTGGGTCCCTTTGTACACCCCATGCATAGAAAAGCTCGTAAGTGGACGGTTGAACCACTTCAACTTCTTCGGTGTCCTTCGATTCCAACAACCGTTGCTGCATTTTCGCCCGGATCGACGCGGGGTCGGCTCGCGGGCCGTCGGTCGAGCTGCGGTCCGAGCATCTGCGCTCGGGGATCGGCGGGAAGTCGGCGGCGATCGGGGGGAAGTTCTGCTTGACGCCGTATGCGGTGAGCACCGCGCAGATGTACAGGTAGTCCAGGAGGTACGGGGCCATGCCGTCGGGCTGCTCGTAGCGCGCGATGGAGTTGTTCTGGGCCTGCATCAGGGCAACACGGGAGAGCGGGCCGAACTGTTGGAACACCAGGTGCTTCACACCGGGTGCAGGCGTCGGAACGTAGGAGAAGGACGAAGGGGGGATGTGTTCGGAGGAGAGCCAGCGGTTGGGGAGCTGTAATCGGAGATGGGCAACCAGCGGTAACTAGTAGCCAAAAACACACCGAAAGGAGCCCAAAACGCAGATGCGACCAGACGATATGCATAACTCTTGACAGAAAGAGGCCGTTGCGGGGGTCCTCGATGTGGTCCACGGCTTCGTCCTCTGGCACCATCCTGTAAGCGTTGAGGGCCCGAAGATACTAAGATCGTAGGTTAGCCCATCTGAGTTGGCGGCAACTTAGAAGTACACGCACTCGGGTCCCTTTGGCATATGGTATGCCGTGGCAAGCGTCAATCCCTTCAACACAAACTTTACCAGCCGTGCCAATGTCTTCATCTTCGTCAATTTCGTCTTCGTTTTCGTCTTCATCTTCGTATCCATCTTCATCCTCGCCAATGTCTTCTTCATCCTTGTCATCCCCCTCCACTGGCAGCGGGGACAGCACACAATCGACGTCGCGGGCCCGTATCCTCGCGCGAAAGGTGGGCTCCCAGTCGCGGCTGTCGACGCTGTCGCTTTCGGTCTCGGTCACATCGCCCTCCGAGTCTCTCTCCAGCGCCTCCAGATCCGGGAAACGCAGGGGTTCTGGGACTCGCGTCAGGATGCTATGCGCTTAGGAGACAATTACCCGGCGCGCACTGGGGGTGGCCGGCCTGAAGAAGAACACGATGGGTCCGGCGCCGGCCCGGGGGAGGTCCGTCGTGTCGATATCCTCTGCTGGACCGTCCGGATCGCGGGAAAGCGCCCCGTCGATGTTCGTGCCCCACACAAGGCACGCGACGAACAGCAGCCAGCGCAGCGGGGCGGGTGCAGAACGTTTCCAGCTTTGCGAGCGGGATTGAAAGAAGTTCCGTCCACACGTCTTGGACTTTGAACATAAGGACCACGGATCGAGAACGCGGAGGTCGGCGTCGTCGTGGTGGCATGAGGATGAGTCGATGACTCCTATTAGTGTGTGTGTGACCGGCGAAATAATAAATTTCAAGTCGTGACGCTTGAAGAAAGAAGACTCCGTTGTGCACTAAGCACTCTTCCCAAAAATATGAGTTACGACCGACCACATCGCAGAGGGCCATAGACAGAGGTGCGACTGGTGCGTGGGAGAAGAATGTGCATCGCAAGGGCACGGACAGCCCAGAAGCGCGGAGGTCCAGGAGGGAGGAATGGGTGTATGAACAAAAAAGGCAAGGAAGGAGTAAGAAGAGCTAGAGAAGTCGAAGTCGCGAGTAGTTGAGTTACAAGGGGACCATCTACGACTACAGAGCTGCTACCCACTCAGTTGCCGACTTGACTATGCTGGTGCAGTACTCGATTGGTGCATCTGGTTGTAGGCTTCAGTCCAAATCAAGCAACAGCCAACACCGTCCACAACGCCAACACCAGCAACGCGCCTGCCCCAGCTGCGCCGACCCCGGGCCGCCGCGCCGCGCTCTTCTGCCCCGTCCGCGTCGGCGCCGGGCCGGCGACGTCGAGCACCTGCACCAGGCGCGCCGGATCAGCGGTCGCCGTTCCGAAGGCATCGCCACAGAGCGCCCTCCCGCCGCCGCTGCCGAGCAGCGTGCACTCGCGCCCGCGGACGACGTCGAGCCCGTCCGGCAGCGACGCGGACAGCGTCTGGCTCGCGTAGTCGGACCCCGCGACGAGCGTGGCCGTGGAGCGTTAGTCATCGCTTTTTTCCCCAAGAACTTGAAAAGAAGGAAAGGGAACGGACCGGTGAAGACGGCGACGGTGCGGGAGACGCTGCTGCCGAAGGGCGCCTCGAGGAGGGGCTTCGCGACGGCGTAGGTCGTGTGCCCGGCGCTGTCGACGCCGAGGATCGTCGCGCTCGCGGGGTCGCCGGGGAGCGGGGCGAGCACGGTGATCCGGGCCGGGGCGGGGCCGGGGCCGGGGCCGGGGCCGGGGCCGCGTGGGAGAGGGTGAGAAGGGAAAGTGCAAGGGAAAGGGAAAGGAAAAGGGGCCAGGACGACGACCTCATCGGCTGGCGGGCGAAGGAACTTGGAATGCGGGCACGGGCAGGACCCGTCCGCTTTTTATAGACGTGCCTTCAGCGGGGACGGGTTACCCGCACTATGACACGCATCGCGATTGAACAGAGGTTTGGGCGCTCGGAGGATTGCAAGCCAGGACAGACGGAGGTGAACTGCAGCTAGCGAACTGCAAAGAGATTGGATTCCAGCGCGCATCGTCTTGCTTAAGCTTGCAGTGTGACACGTGTCTTGGATCATCTCCACCACAATGACAATCCAACGCCCCACTTTTTCGTCGATTCCACCCTCGCTTGGGACTCAAGAACGCCAATTGGGGAGACCAGATACTAATATCGTGCGTGAGTCAGCGTGACCGACTTGCCTTCCCTTTCCCAGCGTCTATCAACTCCATCTCTGGTTGGCCCTTCTTTCGCTTCTCCGCCGCTGTAGCTCCGCGCTGCTCCCAGGCCCGCTGCCATCCAGATGCTGTCGCCCGTGCTATCTGTATGGGACGTGAGTCCTTGGCCCGTCCTCCCACCGTGACCGTCGAAAGCAAGCAATGGCCGCCCTTACGCTTGCGCTCTGTACCCTCGCCACCACCGTGATCGCCGCACGCATCGACTTCAGATCGAATGCCCGGCTCCGAATTCCCCGCGGGCTGACGCCGATCCCCACGGGCTGCGCCACCGTCTGCGCGCCGTTTGCGCCGTTCCTCCAGGGCGCGGTGAGCGGCCCTTGTTTAGCCAGGAAGCTTACTAATACCCGCGCAGACATGCCCCGCGACGGAATGCTGCTCGCAGGTCTTCGAGACCGCGTACGCCAGCTGCTTCCAGTGCGTCGGCGCCGCCGAGAACACGACGGACTTTTCGCGGGCCCAGGTATACGTCGACGGTATGTGTCACCCGTCTTCCTTTCTTTCCTTTTCTTTGTCTGATAGTCTCGGCCTCAGTGGTGAACACCGCCTGCGCCTCGGAGGGCTTCCCGCTCCCGGTGATCACGCTCCCGGGGCAGGACCCGAACCGCACCCTCGCGACGGCGCTCCCGGCCGACGCGTCCGCGGTGCCCGTCTTCGGCGCGAGCTCTGACTCTGTACGTGGCCCTTCTACTACTCCGCGCAGTCGGCCGATGTCCACACCGATGTCGTCATCGTCGTCGTCACGCTCCGTGTCACGATCACTGCCACCGTCGGCGTCGTCGGCGTCGGCGTCGGCGTCGACGGCCGCGAGTACAACGAGCGCTGAATCGAGCGCTTCGCAGGCACCTTCTCCCTCGTCCGCCGCGTCGGGCTCCGGCTCCGGCAGCGGCCCGGGAGTCCCAGCCCCGTCGACGAACGCGGGGTACAAGCTGCTCGCGGGCCACGGGCGCCGGTTCGTCGCGCGCGGGTTCTTGACGGCGCTGTTTCTGGGGTTGATAAGCTGATTGCAATGCGGCATGGACTCGCGCGTAAGGAGTGCGGCGGGCGTAACCTGGCTGTCTGGATGTTAAGTATTTTGGAATGGTATGAAAATGCTTGCTTGCCGTTTGTCTGAAGTGGATGGCGGAGGACGGTTTGCATCTTATCTTATCGGTGATGCTTAATAGGACACTTTGACTCTACAGCTATGGACAGCGCATCCAACTGCTCGTCGCCGGCGACTCGCCGCGGCGTACTTAGCCCAACTTGAACGGCGACCCTCCTGCACTTGCGAATCATTGCGATAGGCGATAGTGCATTCAAGGTGCAAAGTCGCTCACTCTGCAGTCTACTATCTGTCGGCGCAAGCGGAAACAGTACTTGGCGAGTGGGGCTTGAGACAGCTTTGGCTGCGTGCCTGGGAGCGGGTAATACATAATGATGTCGGGTGTGCTATGTAAATTGTGTCACCGCCTGCCTTCTCTTCGCATCTTGTGCTAATGGGAGCCGCAGAACAGAACGTCTGCAACGAGGGCTTCCTTTATACCACCACCACCACCACCGTCCGAAAGTCATTGACTAAACACTATGTTCCAGTCGAAGTGCGTTGTCATGACTGGTCCCTGCTCAAAACTTACTAATTTGCATCGATTACAGGGCACCGCAGCGCAACCGTAACATTTCCTTGGAGACCATTGCGTCCAGCCTTGCCACCCTTACAAATAAAGTGGACAACCTCCAAGCAGCCGTCGAGATCCTCAGGGCTGAGATGAAGATGGTGCAAGCGGATATCGAGAAGGGTCAGGACGACACGAAGAAGGTCAACAGCACTATACGCTCGATGCAAACCCAGCACAAGGACATCACCGAGGAGTTGAAAGAGATCGCGGTCCAGATAGGGGGTATATATCGCACTGTCGCGCTCGCTCTGGGTGGCCGGGCTTCCGCGTTTCCCGCAATCTCCATCGGCCTTATGCGCTCCTTCTGGAGCCAGAACTCGTCCCCCACCTCGACCCATTTCCATTCCGCTGAGTCCAGCGAGGATTCCGGCTCCCGCCCCCCCGAAGAGTCGAACTCGGAGCTCGACTCCTAAAGCCTCAGTTGAACCGTGCCCTTCCAGTGTACTCTTTTTTCAAATTGCAACAAAATTCCATCGCCGTTCTTTGAGTCATTGTTATAACCTAACCTGAATCATCGTTCTTCGAGTCATTGGTTCAGGTGATACGTCGATAGATAGATATATTTAAAACGCTCTTTAATCATGCATGAAGTTCTGTTTGTTTGTCATCCGCTCACTGACGTCCCGAAATTTGCAGCAAAGACAGCTGTCACGGACCGCTACCCTACCCGTAACTGTCACGGTGTCGCTCTCTTCGCATCATACAGTATCATGGGAGGTGCCCACCGCAGTTTCTGCCGCGATTCGCAAGACGACCTGTGCGTCTTCCGGGTCATCATGATGGCCGTGTTATCGGCGCCAGCAGCGACACTGATATCACATTGACAGCGATCCGCAGCACATCCAGCAGCTGGCGGCCGCCATCGCGCGCCTCACCGCGAAAGTGGACCGCCTGGCGGCGAGCATAGCGGTTCTCGGCGCGGAGATCCGCGCCGCCGCCCGCCTGGCCCGACAGCCGGAGCGTTCCGCCGCACAAGCACAAGCAGGGGCTGCAGTCGGCCGCCTGTTCGCGGGCAGCCTGCCAGTGGCGACGCCCGCCATTTTTGTAGGCCTGAGGTGTTCATTTTGGACGCAGACACAGGGCTGGTCTCCCCTGTAGGGCTAGTAGGGCTCGAGCAACATCGCTTCCGATCCTAAGAAATTATGTAATGTTTCAATGTGTGTCGGTCTGCGCGCGGATCACGCAGTAGAAAAGTATGGCAGTCCCTTTGAGCAAACACCGCCTGCGCCTCGGAGGGCTTCCCGCTGCCCGTGATCACGCTCCCGGGGCAGGACCCGAACCGCACCCTCGCGACGGCGCTCCCGGCCGACGCGTCCGCGGTGCCCGTCTTTGGCAATGGCGCGAGCTCTGACTCTGTACGTGGCCCCAGTTCTACTCCTCCGCGCAGCCCGCCGACGTCGGCGTCGGCGTCACGCTCCGTGTCACGGTCACTGCCACCGTCGGCGTCGTCGACGGCCGCGAGTACGAGCACGAGCGCTGAATCGAGCGCTTCGCAGGCACCCTCTCCCTCGTCCGCCGCGTCGGGCTCCGGCTCCGGCAGCGGCCCGGGCGTCCCGGCCCCGTCGACGAACGCGGGATACAAGCTGCTCGCGGGCCACGGGCGCCGGTTCGTGGCGCGCGGGTTCTTGACGGCGCTGTTTCTGGGGCTGATCGGCTGAGCGTGAGGTGTAAGGAGTACGGCCCCGGGGTGGCTGGATGTTATTTTGGAGTGGGATGGCGGTTTGTATCTTATCGTATCGGTGCTGCTTGATAGGACTCGTGCGTTTATATGCTGCAAAGTTGCCATGGGGCTCGAGATGGGGTATGTAATATTAAATACATGGGTGTGCTAAGCAAATTGTCCCTGCCTCTACTTCAGGAGTCGTCACAGCGTCACTGTCGCTATCTCGCAGCATACCTCCTACCTACCGACCTACTTTATTACCGTGTAACAACAACAACCTACCATGGGAGGCGCCCACTACAGTTCCTCCACCCACGACGACCTGTGCGTCCTACTCGTCCCACTCCGGGCCGTGGCTGTCCGCTGACATCCCACTGCAGCGATGCACAGCACCTCCAGCAGATTGCGGCCGCCCTCGCGCGCCTCACCGCGAAAGTGGACCGCCTGACGGCGAGCACCGCGGCCCTCGGCGCGGAGATCCGCGCCACCGCCCGCCTCGCCGGCGGGGCCCGCCCGCCGGCCGCGGAGCGTTCCGCCGAACAAGCACCGGCGCGGTCCATTGAACCAGCACCAGCACCAGCACACGCAGGGGCGGCAGTCGGCCGCTTATTGGCGTTGGCGACGACGACGCTCGCTATTTTTGTGGGCCTCGGATGGTCGTTTTGGACGCGGATACGGCGCCCCTGTAGGGCGCGGGCATAGCAATCCGATAGCACATAAGCTTGAAATTATGTAATGTTTCATAACATAGTTCGATATCTATGCGTTGGTTGACGTTATACGCGGGCCGCTTATCTTGTGTCCCGGGCTGGGAGGCAGCCTCCGTTCAAGTTTTCTTTCCTTGTTACTAATAGGATGCTGGAGGCAACGCGATCCTGGTTGGCCCTCAACGTGCACCGCCCGGCGTCCGCTTGTTCGCCGCTTTCGGATCGTCGAGGAGTATACGTAAGCCGCTTCGGCTTTTTTCTCCTCGTCGTCGTCGTCCGTCAGACAATGGGCTTCTCACAGACCACGCTCACCATCGCACCTGCCCCCGCTGCCCCAGCCCCAGCCCCCGCCCCCCGCCCCCGCGCCCAACCCCGCCGGCGCCGGCTTTGAGTCCGTCTTTCCCCCTTCTCCCCTGTGTGACAGCGAGCTCACGGTGTGTGATAGCATCGAGGCGCTGCGAGCTGCGCTGCGGGCGATTGTGTACGACGAGGTGCGGGCGGTTGTATACGACGAGGTGCGGGCCGCGATGCGCGTGCTGGCGGACGACGTGCGCAACTTGGCGGACGACGTGCACAGCCTGGCGGACGACGTGCACAGCCTCGCGGCCGACGTGCACAGCCTGGCGGCCGACATGCACGCCCTGGCCAAGCTCAGCGGCGAGGGCAGAGGGGAACGGTAGTAGAAGCACTCCGCTCGCGCAAGAGACATGTTTCTAGTGGGCCTACATATGCCGAGTATAACCAATCCATATACATCCCTGCTTGTACACATGTGCCGTTCTCCGCTCTCCTGTCGGCTGCTGTTTGGCGGAGAAAGGGCGGTCGCCGTCATCGCTGTTTCCTGCAACTCTCAGCCTCTCTCCCTACCCATGCAAGCCAGCCAGCCACTCACCGCACTACACCACCACGCCCATATGCCAATGCCCGCTCTGCAGCCACACCGTGAACCAAATAGACCCCACAATCGCCAGGATCAGCCCCGCACGCTGCCACGCGGGGGGGGCGGGCTGGTGGAAGCGGGGGTCGGGCGGGTGGTCCGGCGGGCGCGCGCGCGTGAGCATCCCCTCCTCGTCCTCGTCCGCGAAGAACGTCGGGCCGGCGCTGGGCCGCCCCGCGTCCAGGTTGTGCAGCCGCGACTGCGAGAACCGCACGTACTCCGCCACTGCAGCGCGGTACTGCGCGTCTGCGTCGTCGTCATCTTCCGGGGCAGAGGTGGGCAGCGCGGTGTACCGGGTCCGGGCGCGCAGCATCGTGGTTGGTGTGTGAGAGAGTGACGTCACGGTCACGGACGTGACTCACCTGAATTCAACGTTAAAAGTGTGGGGGCCCTTCTCCAGGCAGCAGATGCGAGTGGTGCAACACTCTGATTTGGACTCTCTTAGACAATTGTTTGGTAGCGCAACGTAGTAGAGATTCTCGTAGCTGAAAATTTAATTGCATTTGTTTCCGAATGACCTCTTCGCATCATTCCAGTGAGTGCTATTGTTTGGATCCTGGTTACATCTCATCTCATATGAACTCATATGATACTAGAGTTTGCAAAAAGCTTCGGTGAAACTCGGTGAGATTGTTTGAGATCATATAATTATCCGAGCACATTCATAGCACATTATGTCTAATATTAACGGTAATCTGAGACAATTTTTGCTATCACAGGAGAATGGGTGCTATTACATGGGGAACTCTCAGTTTATAGCAGTTTATGCCTCTCAATCCTGCTGAGTTTTCACTGGGATTCAACCACCATGCATTTTTTTTCTTTACGTGCCCCCGGGCCACCCCCCGGTCTCCAGGAAATAGAGGATACTCCTTCTTGCCGCATCCGCCGCGCTGTTCACTGGTGCGATGGCAGATATTTCGAGATGGGACATACACAGCGCTGGGTAGTGCCGATGCGTTGACGACGGCCGAACAGCTTCAAGGTGCGATTGTTTGCTGCGCTGTTCTTAGTGTTCTATCTATGGCAACGGATATTCCTGGCTCGCGGCCCTGGAATCGCAGCGCAGCTCGGCTGTACTCCTGATAGGGACGGTGAGGTGTGTATTTTTCTTCCGCAGCCTGAGCCTGAGGACGCTACAGTCCGCGCATTCATTGGCAACTTGAACACCAAACAAACAAATGCTAGGGATCCAATGATGCCGGGCCGGTGGGGAGCGTATCCATCCGGGAGAGTCTGTGCGCTTGTGGCGCACATGGTACAAATGCCCAACGCCCTGTTCCCGACTTTGCTCAGTTCAGTTCTTCAGCTTCTGCCAGTGCCCGGCGTACACTTTCCTGCCTCTTCTCTTTAAGTTCTCCGCTTTTATTCTCCCTTCGTTCCGAAAATGCAGTCCCCGTTTGTGCTCTTTGTTCTGTCCTGTTATCTCGGCCGTACGTCCGCATACTGCTCTCTAAATAGTGCACTGACAGGCCGTCAGACGTTTCCGCGGCGCCTTTTCTGACCACTGTCTTCGCGCCTCTCCCTGTCCCCGAGACACTAAGCGCTTCTGTGCTCGGCGTCGACAGCGCGGGGCATACGACCTATGCCATAGGGGCGCCGATCGTCGCTGGTAACCCCCTGGGCATCGAGGCAACTGTTCCCGGTGTGCCGCCCTTCTTGTCCTGACAGCAAGCAAGCAAGCCCCACCGGCGACTGACTGCTTTCCTTCTTTCCTAGCCACGCTCGTCGCGGGCACCGACTTTGCGTCCTTCACCCTGGCCCCGACGCCCACGACGTTCGCCGACGGCGTCGTGCTCGCCGAGACCCTCGGCCTGGCATGCACCGTGTCCCGCGGCAGCTTGATATGCAGCGCTCCCGGGAGCACGGACGCCACAGATGACGCAGCCACCACCGCACTCATGCAGGTCCTCGACGTCGCCGGTCCCGCGCCGACGCCGGATCAGAAATCGGCCGCGGCAAGCAGCAGCGCCGCTGGATCAAAAGTCAGACTCAGCGAGCACCAGCGCCACGTCATCGGCGCAGACGTCGTCGCCGCCTGCACCACCGACCAGCGCGGCCCCCGCCCCGGCGCCGAGCAAGGCGGGCGGCGCACGAGTGGCGGTGAACGCCGCAGGTGTCGGCGCTGTTGGGGCAGCTTTCTTCTTTATCTGGTCGCTGTGATTATTGGTACATACATTTCCCGGCGACTAGTATACATAATTGACCTGAATTCAACCACTGGCACGGCACTGCTTGTACCTCACGTTGTAGGCGCTACAGCTCTGTATCGCATGTTCACGGTGGCCTCGTTGTCAAAAGGAGTCGTTGGTACCCACAGAATGCATGTCCGCCCCGCGCCGGCCCAGGATGAGAGGACACGCCCTTTGCATTGGCCCGCGTCGCCTCACTCCGAATTGCGTACTTATGTACACAGAGAGCACTGACAAGCTTAGGTACGATGAAAATGAACACCGAATGTTCAACGCGTGACGGGGTCTGGTACGACATTTGCGTTTACAGCACCATCGCCGACAACACCCCAATCGCCGCCGCAACACCAAACACACCGCCGCTCCTTACGCGCATGCCCGCGCTCTTCTTCCCCGCCCCGGCCGGGCCCGATGGGGGCGGAGACAGAGCCGGGGCTGGAGACAGAGATGGAGATGGAGACCGCGCCGGCGTCGGGCCGACGACGTCAAGCACCTGGGAGAAGTTGCCCGGCGCGACCGTCGATATATCCACCGTCGTCGGGCCGCTTCCATCATCACACGCCGCCGCCGTGCGCCCCGCAAAGCTGCACGCGATGCCAAACGCAAGCTCGATCCCGTCCGCCGAGGCCGCGAACGTCTCGGACGCGTAGTCCGCCCCGGCGACGAGCGTCGCTGACAAATGATTGAGTATTATCTAAGTAATATTTCAACGGGAGACACACCGGTGAACATGCCGACGGTGCTCGACACGCCGTTGGCGTCGCCCTCGACCAGGGGCTCGGCGATCGCGAAGGTGGTGTGCCCCGCTGCGTCCACGCCGAGGATGCTCGCGGTGGGCGTGGGGGCGCCCTTGACGCCCAGCGGGAATGGCGCCGGCACCGTCGTCAGTGCGGGGGCCGGGGCCGGGGCCGGGGCGGCGGCGGCAGCGGCGGCCCGGAGTAGGAGTGGAGAGAGGAGAAAAAGTGGAAGGGACAACGACATCGTTATTTGGCAGGATAGATCGCGCACTGGCAGCTGGATGTGGTCGATGTGGGGGCCCCGGGCCCTTATAAGGTGGCGCACTGGCAGGCTCAATGACGCAGTCCCGCGGCGTCCCGCGCTGTTCACGTTCAAACAGCGGCAGCGACAGCGAGCGGGTTGTAAAAGGATGCACACGAGATGCACTGTCAATGATGCATGACTGTTGGCAAGACTGTTGGGCCAGGAGGGTATGTACCGGCGATGGCGACCGAATGACGTACATGCGGCCAGGAAGGCGCGCCGGCGCCGGCTTGGCTGCGTGTTAAAATAATTTTTTACAAAAATGAAACACCGAATGCGTGACGGCGTCCAACTCTGCTACATGGTACGACATTTACATCTTACAGCACCATCGCCGACAACACCCCAATCGCCGCCGCAACACCAAACACACCGCCGCTCCTTACGCGCATGCCCGCGCTCTTCTTTCCCGCCCCGGCCGGGCCCGACGGCGCCGGCGTCGGGCCGACGACGTCGAGCACCTGCGACAGGCTCCCGATTGCCGACTGCACCGCGGCCACGTCGAGCGTCGTCGTCCCGCCGTTCCCATCGTCGCACGCGGCCTTTCCGCCCGGGCCGAAGCTGCACGCGCCGCCGAACTGCAGGTCGAACCCGGGCGCGCCGACCGGGAGCGTCGCGGAGGCGTAGTCCGAGCCCGCGACCAGAGTTGCTGTCATTTTACATAACCCATATTGAATATATAATCATATGGAGGGTGGAAGGGGCGCACCGGTGAGGACGCCGACGGTGCTGGACTTGCCCTGCAGCACGGGCTCCGCGATCGCGAACGTGGTGTGTCCCGCGCCGTCGACGCCGAGGATGCTCGCCATCAGCGGCGCGCCGTTGTCGTCCAGCGGGAACGGCGCCAGTACAGTCGTCAGCGCGGGGGCTGGGGCTGGGGCCGGGGCGGCGGCGGCCCGGAGTACCAGTGCAGAAAAGAGAAAAAGAGGAAGGGACAACGACATCATTGTCTGGAAGTGAAAAGAAAACAGAGAAAATTGGGTGGGTGGGTAGAAGAAGGAGAATGGGGGTCAGTGTGCGCCATGGCCCTTATGAGCAACGCGTCAGGGACAGTGGCGCGCGGGCGTTGCTGATCCCTCACAGCGCTGGCGGGCCAAGAAATGATGCACGCAGGAAGCGATGTCGCCCGTGGCAACCCGCCCCCACGTGCGCTTAGTCATCCTATACACGTTGGTCATCGGCGCTGTTCTAGGGGGGGTCCAGAGCCTAGAAAAAAAACTTTTGTGTTTGGTGTAGGGATGCTTCAAGAGGTACTTAGGAGGCCTTAGGAGGCCTTTCATATGTAGATCTTCCATGTTAAATGCCATTTTATACCTTTGAATGCAGTGAAACCCAGTTTTTTTGGTGAAGTGACTAAACTTGTCACAGTCTTTGATAGCATCAACATATCATCATGATGCAAGAAGCAATACAACTTTATATGAAAGTTCATTTAAAGGCATAGGAACATTATAATAGCCTAGTTACAATTTAATTTAATCACATTTTCCATTTTCAAGACCTCTATCGATCATTTTGATGCGATTTTGATCGCATCAGTCACGTTTTCATGGGAGATCATTACTATATAAGGCAGGAGGGGGGGGGAGGGGGGTCTGAAGGCCCAGAAAAAAAACATTTGGCCCTATGTACATAATTTGAATGTTGGGCCCCCCTTGTGCTTGCCACTCGCGGCGGGAGAAGTGGAGTGCGCGTCCAGGTCAGGAGTCAGCAGCACAGATTCACCAGGGACCGTGCGCAGGAGAGTGTAAGCAACTTGAATGAAAAGAAAAGGCTCATGGTGGTTGTGTCCCAACACAGGTGACAGATGACACCGCCACTGCCACATCATGATCAAATTGCCCGATTAGGCACAGAAGATTGTCCAATTCGGCCCGGGGGGCAAATATTTAAATAAAATAGATACGTGATGGGTGACTTCGGGCTTGAACATGTTATCATGCGGTCACCGGCCCTACATGGCCCAGAGCAAAAACCACGCCGCGCCGACGACGCCGACACCCCACCGCGCCGGCCCGGACCGCGCGCCCCCGCCCCGCATTCTTCTTCCCCGGCGCGGGCGACGGGCTGGCGACGTTGAACACCTGCGAGAGCCCCGCCACCAAGGTCGCCGTCCCGCCCGCGCCGACGCACACGGCCCCGCCGCCCAGCGCGCCGAACGTGCACGCCCCGCCGAACGTGCTCACGTCCCCGACGCCGACGCCGACGTCCAGCGTCGCCGACGCGCGTAGGCCGCGCCGGCCACGAGCGTCTCTGCGGAGCGGGTCAGTGATGCGCGATCAGCGGGTGATCCGGGGACCGGTCGCGGGGGACGGACCGGTGATGGTGCGGATCGCGCCGTCCATGCGGCTTATGGGCTCGGCGAGCACGAAGGTGGTGTGCCCCGCGGCGTCGACGCCGAGGATCGTCGCGGTGGGCGGTGTGCTGCCCTCGCCGAAGCGGGAACAGCGCGATCACCGTGGTCAGCGCGGGGGCTGGGGCGGCGGCGGCCCGGAAGACGAGTGCAGAGAAGAGAAAAAGAGGAAGGGACAACGACATCATGGTCTCGAGAGTTTGAAATACTGGGAAAAGAGGGCTGGGTCGAAGGTGGATTGAGTCAATGCAGCGTGTGGTCTAGGGCTCCAACCTTTTTGTTTCCGTTTGTGGGTTGAGACAAATCAAACAGAAAGGGTTCAACAAACGTTTTAAAACATTTTAAATAGTTTTAATACAGTTTAAAAATCATTAATATATTTTTGTCTTCCTTATATGTAGAAAATGACGGAAATATGATATAATTATTATGTTGTTATGGCTGCAGGATGATAAATTATTCTAGGATAGTATTTCTGTGGTCTAGAGACATGAAATCACTGTGAAATTCCTTATAACAGACAATCATCAGTATTAAGTCAGACATGCTGACTAGTGCCATTGATATCTCTATTCCAGAAACCATATTCAGGTGAATCATTACTGAAACTAAGAATAGTTTCTTGAATTCAGAGAGCAGGTAAATTGCTAATGACTAAGTCATTAACTTTTGTTATAGTCTAATGTATGTACTTATTGCATACAACTAGCAAATGGGACAATTCAAGAGGAAACACAGGATATCTATACATATACATTGGATATTTTCTAATCATATTATTATGATTATTATTTAATATTGAGTAACCGTTTAAACCTTTTGTTTTCTTTTATTTACCATTTGCTCAACCCCACAACTTGAAATAAAACGGAAATAAAAAAGGGTTAAAACCGTTTATAAAGTTTGTCAAACGGAAAGTGTTGGAGCCTTAGTGTGGTCGCAGCTGTTTATAAACACGCGGGAGTTGCTAACCGACGGGGCCACAACTTCAATGAACGTGCAGATCAGAGGCGCTGCAAGTAAATCGACTTGAAGTTATTGAGGCAGGACATCTTTAACTGGTCATCTCACGCTCCCGGGCCCAAGCCCTGACCATCATCGCACTGCTTGGAGTCTGCTCCACCTCCCTATCAAGCAGTATCCTGATACATACAGCACTTACGACTTGATGCATTTATCGGACCTATCAACTAGCAGTTGCATCGCATCGTTCACGCGACAACAACTTACAGGATGAATGTTGCATTCTAAGTTTGCCACATTCACCATGCAGAACTCTGCACTGGCAGGGCCTGAACGCATTATCATAGTGAAGAGCATAAAAGTTTACGCCGACCAAATGAAAAACAACGCTGCACCCACAGCGCCGACGCCCGCTGCGTTCACCGCCACGGCGCGCGCGGCGGCGGCCTTGCTCGGCGCCGGGGCCGGGGCCGCGGTGCTTTGGCTTGTTGCGGGCGCGGTGGTCTGGGGTGGCGCGGCAGAAGATGAGCTGGATGACGCGGCCGGCGCCGCAGCAGATGGTGGTGCGACCGATTTCTGATCTGCCGGGCTCGGTGTCGGGCTTGCGCCTTGATCCGGCGTCGGCGTCGGGCCGGGCGTCGCCGAGGTCGATGGCGAGGCGAAACGAAGTGGTCGCGCTCAGGTCGTTCCGGAAGGTGTTCTCGTTGCTGTCCTCGCACACCCACGTGTCCGCCTGCACGGTGCACGACGCGCCCGAAGGCCAACACGCCGAAGTCAGGCTCCGCGGGCTCCGTGAAGGACGCGAAGTCTGCGCCCACGACGAGTGTTGCTGCCGGTGCAGGTCAGCGCTCGAGTGCACGTGATGGCCCACGGGAGGACGGAGAGACTCGGACACACACCTGCTTCAAAGCCCACGGTCGCTACAGCGCCCGTTCGCATCTGTTTTTATGAGAGGGTCTTCGAACCCGTACACGGTGTTCCCCCCATTGTCGAAGCCGAGCACGCCTCCCGGTGACAGTGTCGATAGCTGTGTTGGGGATAGGCTTGAGTACCGTGACCAGCGCGGGCGCGGCCGCTACATCTAGCATCCTGTGTCAGCGCCCAAGTTGCGCCCCAGGGGCAGAGAGAAGAATTGCAGCTCGAACTCACAACTAGCACAAGAGACCAGGAAGAATAACGACTTCATCTTGATAGAGCAACCAAATAAAGGAGCAGCAGCTTGAGGAAGGACTCAAGGAAAATGAAACTAGTAGTGCGCCGGGCAAAAGCTGGAAAACAAAAGTGAGGAATATCGTCAAACACCCTGGTCTGCTGGCTTTTGTACCCTGCGCGCCACACGCTCGCACACTCTCCCGGAAGCGGCCCGGCATCATTGGAGACTCGGAGTCATCCCTAGCATTTTTCGTTGTGTGTTGAATCGTGAATTGCACTAAGCGTCCTCGCTCCTCAGGCTGTGGAAGAAATGCATGCCTCACCTTCCCTATCAGGAGTATAGCTTCAATTTGATTGAGGCTTGATCATGATGTGAACGCGTCCAGTTTTCCTGTGTGTGGCCGGTATCTGTCATGCAAAATGAAGATGAGGCATATCAAGACCTAGGTCGGCCCATGGTCGAGGTAGCTTGCAGTACGCGGCGAGCGCCAGCAAATGCGGTTGCCGCTAAAGCCGTTCTATACCTGGTGCCAAACGAGTCCAGGTGCTCCATCCCGACCGCGACGTTTAAGCCTTCTCGCGTATTCCCGAGGGGTGGAGACCGCATACAACAGTCCAGCTATAATAAGCCGTGTTAAGTGCCAGAAATAGCCGCTTGCCACAGGCCCATAGATAGAACGGTACAGCACAGCAGGAGGCGCTTACCTTACACCTTGAAGCTGTTCGGCCGTCGTCAACGGCGGGGGATTCGCACAGGCACCAGGTACCGCTGTGTATGTCCCGACCAGGGTCCAGAAGTAGTATCTGTTAAAATCAATCATGACAACGACTCCGAGTCTTGAGTTGTCTAGTGGATTCGAGATGCGTCCCCGCGTCAGCGACTCCGAGCCTCCAGCGCATCAGATGCGGTGCAGTTAGTTATAGTCCAGGACCCGGAGACCGGGAGCGCGCGTGTCATATTGCACGCAACCAAAAACGTTCGTTCATGGTGGTGTCAATTCGCACACGTCACGCCAGCACCGCCACGCGTCACCCTTCTCTCACACCACGAAATAAGTAAGTGCAGCCTCAGCGTGATCAGCCTAAACACACTACAACTAACATATCGAAAAATCTACATGGTCCAGACGAAGAAGAACACCGCACCGACAGCGCCTACGCCCGCCGCATTGACCGCCACGCGTGCACAAAAGGTTCGTGGAGAGGTCACAGCTGTGACGTCAGCGCCACCGCCACGATACTTCTTCAACTTGACTTCCTCCGTCAATGATTCAAGGTAGGCCGACCAGCGGCGTAGCACAAACTGATTAGACTCATAAATACCTGTTTTGTATATTTACCTAAATACATGCTGGTCAATCCAGCGGAAATAAAACCTCAAATTTTTGACATGGATAAGATATTTTATCTCCAAATCTGCAACATATTTTCCTACAGAAAGTAATTTTTTTTACATCAAGAGGGTCGGTCCGAATACAC